ACATGGTGCTAAAATCCACCTTTGATGGTCTGGTGCAGCGCTGCCAGCTAGCTGCTGGAGATCCTGTGAGTTCCCTAGCGTGTCCATCGCTGCCTTTGCAATTCTTACTTTACCATATATCACTTTTTTTATGTATAAACCTTTTTTTTAAGCAAACAAAAAGGAAACTGGACGATGCGGCCAAACGTCTGGGATACCTTTACGACAAGTTGAGGGAGCAGTCGGTAAGAAAAACATTACATGCAATTGTTCAACATTAATAAGTCAAATTCAACAATCAGAGCAAAGATAAGAAGAAGGAATGAACCACAGACATGAGCTAACAGTTGTAATGTAATTAGAGAATCCTCCAAAAACGCACCCACACCAGGACTGGAATCCAAGTAATGACAGGCAGAACAGTTTAATACTCTTCCAGCAGGTGGCATCAGACAGCGTGTGCAATGTGAAAACCTGGCATAATAAAAATATTTTCTCACAATAGCTGTCTCACAACATCCTCAACGGGCTGCATGAGATCAGCCGATGCGTAGCAAGCCAGAACTACCAGCGTGGCCTGGAGGTGCACACCCAAGTGGTCAGCAGCAGCAACTTCAGTGAGATCTCCGCCTTCATGCCCATCCTCAAAGTGGTCATGACCATCGCAAATAAGCTGGGTGTCTGAACCCTAACACTCCAGCGGCAAGACTTCAGTGTTATCATGTTGTTATATATGTATTTATTTCTGTATGAGCTGATGATGATGATGATGTGCTTTGGCAATGACAACATTTACCAATAACAGTAATGATTACGGTCTTCATTGGAAAGCTGTTGGTTCCTAAAGGACCTGGCTGATTTTCTGGGGAAATCTGGTGGATAATTTTGTAGTAAATTTAGCTGTGGTTGTTTTTCTTTCCCCATAATACTCTGAATGTATTCTGGCACTTGTGATTCTGTATACATTTTCAACACTTTGTATAACATATGAATACAGCTGGTGCAAAGATTTCAAGGCAGTGCTTGTAACATAACTTCCATGTTCTCTACCCACTGCTACACGTTTCCTCGTCTCTCCAGCAGCTGTTGGAAAAAGTGTTTTTTTTAATGCATGTAGCAAACGCAGCTGCAGAAAGAAAACCTAAAACAAGCGACTGTCACATCACAAAAAAACACGTTTGAAATGTGTTTATAAGACATCTGTTGGTGTTGAGGGAAAAAAAACAACGCTTTTTACAAAGTGGGTGTTTTTCAGTGAACGAGCATTTAAAAAAAAAAGAAAAAACGATTTTGTAACATGTACTGATTGCGTCCAGTTTATTGTGCCATAAGGTCACAGCAGATGGATTTCAAGTTTTTTTGTGTTTGATAAGAACTAAATCTTAATAGCGCTGACGGTTTGTGTGCGTGGCTGTGAGGCTCATTTCATTGGTCCATTTCACTGCTGACTGCATGTTTCCTGTATTCTTCAATCACTGCTGTCTCCTCAAAAACATTTCATTCTAACTGCTCCTTCTGTTTCAGTCACAGGATGAATGAATCAAATCATATATTTTTTCTTTTTCAGATTAGGTTTATAATCTTAATGTACTGTCAAATGAATAAAAATATTGTCAGAGGTTAGAAGCTGGATGGCATTTATTTTGGCAGCAGACGGCAGTGAAGTGCCTCAGTGTGCTCATTTGGTTGTACAAATATTTATAGATTCCACATGGCTTATTTTACTCATTTCAATTTTTTTTCAATAAACAAATTGTTCTCTTTCATGGGTTGTGCTTCAGAGTTACTCTACTCTAATCAGGGGTCACCAATGTGGTGCAGGGGGGCACCTGGTAGCCCCCATGGACTACCTAAGGTGCCCATGGGGTATGTTCTCAAAATAAATCTATCCAACAAGAGGGTCAAAAATGTACTGCTACTGTGCCTTTGAATGCACCATATCCTGTCATTCTTTCAAACGCGGGAAGTTTTCCATGACTCACTCTTTTAAAACATTCTATTATGATCACTTTCATGAAGCCTTATGTGTCAGCTGCAGCTGGGGGGTGTGTGTCTCACCCCTTTCACCTGATTGGTTGGTAGTGATCAGAAGTCAGGACCTCGCTGCCGATTGGTTAATCGAAGTCACACGCTGTGAGAAGCTTGGCGAGGACTTTTTCTTTTTTTTTTTCTTTTTTGGCACGGACTGTGAGCAACGTCCTGAACTGTAGTAACCTCGTGTCATGTCATTCTGGCGTGATGAATCCTGAAACTTCACCGAACATCACACCATAGTCAGCAGCAGTCCTGAGTCATGTAGTCAGCCAAACACTCCCTGCACCGAGCGACTGCGTCAAACTGTGGAAACCAGCCTCAGTGTGTTACATACCGGTGGCAGTTTGTGCGGTTAAATAATGACTTATAAAGCTGCTCTACAACTTTAAGTTGCGACCATTACTACTGTACACTGGTGAATACAGATAAATAACTTTAACTCTAAGGGTTTCAGAGATACACAGGGCTATCCTTTAATATAATAATAATAATATATTCAAATTTAATTTAAAAATGTACATACAGGACTGTTCTTATTATTTACTGTGCTCAAAAGATCTACAAATTCTATGCAACGTGAACTTGTTTAAGTCTGTGAGGACAGTATTAACCTGTTGTTTGTTTAAATGTCATTGTCTCTCTGAGCCCAGCCTTCATGGGCTGGACCGGTTCTCTGGGCAAAAAACTGGTCTCTCTTTATTCTGTTAAATCCCACTAAATCAGTCATACTAAAGATGTTTATGTAATAGAAAAAAAAAGTTATATAAACAAGAAAAATGACTGCTGCGACTGAGTGAAGAGTGAAGGAATAAGAGAAACAATATAGTAAGTGTAAATAAACAGGAAGCTTTACCAAAAGAAGAGAACCAGTCCTTCTAGGAACAATAAGAAGAATCTTTATTCATATTCTGGTATTGAGTTTTGAATGTTTTAATAATTAAATAATGAGATTTGATTAAAACCAGTAACCCAAAAATACTATGAACACCGCCTCTTTCCATTGAGTCTAAAGCTGGTTTCTGCTCAGCACACTGCTCCTAGATTCCTCACTGTCCTGTGAAAATGATTTGAGACTGTATTCATCTGTTGCACAGAGAAAAACTGTATTAAACAGAAGTGTTAGAATTTAAGCGGATAATTCCCACACATAGTTTATTTATATGTACCAGGGAGTTGGATTTACCAGGAAGTTTCCTTTACACTGAAACGTCGATTGACCTGGGTACTGGTCGTACATTCCGCAATTAAAATAAAAAAATAAAAATATTAATATAATTCAAAAGTGTGCAGTAGTGACCATATACTGGTAGAATTAAATACCATGCTGTACAGCTACATGAATTTAATCAATACCCAAACATATCATGTATATATAAAATGTTCCCTTCATATGAGCAAATATATATTTAATGTTTTCAGATCCTGGTCATTTGAACTGTAGACCCAAGCCAAACAAGTGTGGACTTCCCTGTTTTAATGTGTGTAGAGCGAGAAAGTAGAGCAGCGACAGCGTTTTGAAAATATCCTCAATTTTTATTTCAGAATAGAACAGTTAAAATTTGACAAGTCCATTCACACTGACATTCTCTTTAATCTCATTGTCATCATTTTAGGAAAACATTGACACTCGGGACAGGAAGAGAGTTCACTGAAAGTTCTTGCTTCAAACATGACACTTACATTCTCTTGCGACAACACCTTTATTTGGAGGTTGTCGCTGTGAAATGCAAAAAAGACAGTTGGCACATCCTTGTGGGGATTGCAGCTGAATTTCATATGAAATTGTTTGCACCAGGTTTTTGTGGTAGTTAAGTGCTCGTGTGGATTGAAGGGAAACGGTTTATTTTTCTTTTTTATCTGGTGCTTCAGTCCATGAAAAAGACATCAGTCACATTTGTCTAATATAGCACTTCAGCCTTTTTTGACCCAACTGACTGGGTGGGAGGAAAGATCAGGAATGAGAGCAAGTTATAAGGCATTAGGTTATATCCTGACTCGTGAAAAAAATAAATAAATCATTTGGCTAATTTTTACGCATAAACTGGATCAAATTAGAAGCACTTTCTTTGTGTCAATATAAAGTAACACAAATACAAAACCAAAACCAACACAAGCATTCTGCACAATAGAATTCAACATTAAACATCTATGCACCTCAGCAAAGGGAAACCGGATCTCGTCTGAAGACGGTCCAAAAAGCAACGCAGCTCCAAGTATATGTTACAAAAATAGATGCAAATCGGTCTTTTAGAGTCACTACCAGAGACACACCTCACTACGACACTGACTACTGTACTGTAAATTGTCATGCATGGGTGGTGTGTAAGTTGTAGCACCAGAACTGTCAGATGAGCTGCTGCACTCCGCTGCACACACTAGTTATAAAGTCGTAATTCAACAGGACGTGTTTCACATGAAAGCAAAACCCTACTGATGCCACAATATGGAAAAGTGCTGAGATTATATGAGCAATGCAGCAGTTGTTGTTATATATTCATCACAGAGACAAAAAAAGTCTATAAACATGTCTGGTTCTAAAGAAAACAACAAACAGGTTTAAACTTGTTGATCACAGATTGAGTAATAAATAAATAATTAAATTATTATGTGTATTATCTCGTCTCCGTGTGTTTTTCTGATTGGTGGAGACATTTAGGCTGCATCACTTTGGTTTCCTGTCAGGTCTGAGGACCCTCACTCTCCCATCATTTGCTAAGTGTGATTAAATATAGTCGTTTTGTTCACAGAAACTCTCCTCTTTAAATAAGGATTGTAAAAACCTACTGTAAATTGGAGAAAAAAGGCAATAGTCTCCAACCAGCATCACACCAAACCAGTTCAACCACTGTCGTACCACAGGACTGTAGTTCTCCACTACGTCTGATTATTCATTGAGTAATACTTGGATGAAAACAATTAGCTACATGACTGGTCCTGCATGAAGAAGTGCACACCAAAGTGGTCAAACGGCATGGAATTCTATGTCCAATCTAAAACATCTGTGCAAGACCTTGGCCTAACTAAACAAAGAAAATTCAAAAAGGTTTCTTTTTAAAGTAACTACGTTGATATTTTTTGTTACAGCTACAAAAGAAACGCATAAAAAAAAAAAAAAAAAAACAAGCAAAATGTGCTCAAGGCCGTCATGGAGCTGACTGTCATCCTGGGAGGATGAGAAATGTATAGGTGTCAGAGACTCTGAAGCTTTTTCTATAATATTTCACCTTGAGGAGCTTCACAGTTTGACCCCCTTAGCCACTCCGGTGGCTTCCATTCCCGGTGCGTTGTATTCGGGCTAGCACCAGCTCTCGGGGGACTCGTTTGCAGTCTCTGGCCAGGCCCAGGAAACACATGAAGTCGATGAAGCAAGTGGTCAGGTTCATTTTGCAGCCAAACTCACTGGATGCGTAGTCGTAGGGGAACGTGTGGTGGTAGTTGTGGAATCCTTCGCCTGTGAGGTAGAAGGACGTTAAAACAAGAAGAAGACAAAAAAATGAGCTGCTAGTTCGAATCCCGTCCTGGCTTGATGTGGTGGATTGAGCAAACACCAGTTCTCCTTCCAATGCTGGCTTATTTGTGGATAGTCAACACACTTCGTCATTTTTTTATTTGCGTTTATGTACTTAGAGGTATTATGTATTTATAAAGCCCTGAAACATACTGAACTGATAACATGTGTGATGTACCAACTAAATGCTTCTTGACTAAATGTTTCTTACCTATGGCACCGAATGTCACAAACTTGTTTTCTCTGGGGTTGATGCTCTTGTCATAGGGCCTGGTCCCCCACATGTGCGCTGCGCTGTTTACTAGCCAACTGGCGTTCAACACTAAGGTGTACCGCAGCAGGGCAGGGACGAAGTATGCCAACCACAGAGACTCTCCCCACAGGTACCAAGGCACAAACGTGGGGATGAAAAAGCACATGAGCAGCACAGAGGGCTTGTAATACCTGTGGTGGGGACATGGGTGGGGAACAGAAATAGGACATGTTTGCACAATGCAACACAAGAATTTGAATCTCACGTGTTAGTGTTCACTCTGGTACTCTTTTGTCTGGATGACACAGTTTTCTTTGACCTATAGTATATAGCCATATATATATATGACATGTCAGTAGTTTTTCACCTTGTAAAACCAGTATGACCAATAAAACCTGTACTGCAGACACACTATACTGTACTGCACTGTGGGTCTGCATTAGTGTGAATGCACAGCTACAGTACATGAGGATTGTAGAAGCATCTTTTTAAAAGTCGTAATTTGAGTTCAAATCACTGACGAGGGAACAAAATACATTTTATTTAGGCTAATGTTCACACTGAGCTGTCAATCAAAGCCACTTACTTTCTTTGAAACATTACAACTTGGTCGGACAGCAGGTCAGTGAGTTCGAGCTTGCGTCCTTTCTCAATGACGTCGGGGTGTTTGCGCACCATCAACCAGCCGATGTGAGAGAAGAAGAAGCCCCTCACAGCGTTGTGGGGATCGGCATCCGTCTCCGAGTATTTGTGGTGAACCCTGTGGTCGCGAGCCCATTCAAAGATGTCATTCTGCGGGGAGAAGTTAAGGCAGAGATTACATGCAGTACGCTGCAAGGCGCAGTGACACATAAACGTGGAGAGTAGGATCATTATGACACCCTCAGGTGTGAGTGTGTGTGTGTGTGTGTGTGTGTGTGTAGGGCTTAACAATGTAGTGCTTTCATGTACCTGAAATGCCATGGAGTTAGCGAAAGCGAGAAAGATCCGTAGTGGTAGTGATGCCTTGTAGGATCTGTGGCTCCACAGGCGATGGGCTCCTGCAGTGACTCCCAAACCGCTTATCACAAAACAAAGTACAGCTGCAGAGAAGAAACACATCACTAGATTAGACTGACCACGTGCTGCTGGACTGCTTCTATCACAAGCACTTCATCACAGTGATAATACACAGGGCAACATCTTTGCACAAGGTATTTTTGTAGACGACATATTTTTTTATAGATCGTTAATGTAACGTTTGCCTGCGGCATTACTGGAGCCACAAATGGTTATGTTACTATTAATATTCTTTGGCTTCTGAGTCACCGAGTACGTGGAAAAGGGCTTAAAGAAAATAAATGATCACACAAGCTTATCTGCACAGTAGTTTCAATAAAAAGAGGTTTAACAAGCACCTCCGACTGGTTTTCCTTGCCTGAACCTGTTTGTTGATCAAGGTATAAGCAGTTTACAGGATCCCATGTAGGCCTGGAGCTGTGACACTAAGAAGGCAGTGCTGCTGTATATGTCAGATCATCTACTGACAGTCTGACTGATATGTCAGAGTCCTGCTGCTGCATCTCTACATTAACCTACAACCACTGTTTACTCTGTGCTGTTGTTTTTCCACTCTTTCAACATTTATGTGGGACATAAAAAAATATTTCTTAAACAAAAATAAATCCCTTAAAAATGGTCTGGTCATTGGTTAAAAGCAGGGATTTGCTGTAATGTGTCTATCTGGTTCAACAATTTACAGAAATATATGTTTTTGACCTATATTAGTAATGTTGATTCATCCTGATTAATCCTGATTAATCCATCATTATTATGTGATTCCTCAGATTAAACTGTTAATCACAATTTAACATAAAGACAGATGATGAACACTGTTAATCATATAATTCCACCGCGGATTTCAACATGATTACTGTTATAAACAGTCAATACACACGTTATCTGCTGATACTCCGTGTAGAGTTTTACAGAAAAAAAGTTTTGACATATTTCGGCAGGTTGATTTATCGATTAAATGGAATTAATCCGCAGCTACACTGTGATTACTCAGATTAAAATACAAATGTACATATAAATATCACAGACCGATAGATCACCATGTGTACTTACACCAGAGCAAGGTCAGGAAAGATGCTGAGGGGATGAGGTAGACGCCATACGCGGCACCTACATGCAACAGAGTCATCAGGAATACATTTTTCCACACGATGTCTCTAGGAGGTTTCGGGCCCTCTTTTTCTTTGTACGTATGATCGAATACGTCTTCTATGGTGGCTTCTCGAGAAGCTGCAGCAGGAAGATGAAGATCCCCATTGCTGGACTTGTGCTGTTTCTTCTCCAACGCATCCGCCTCCGTCATGGTGTGGCCGTCTGGTCTGATGAGGGGAAGACACCAGTCAGAGCTCATATGCAAATTCAAACTGCGCACTCATCGCACACTGCAAAACGTTGTTTATTAAAAAAAAAAAAGTTAGCCCCTTAGCTAGCTGCGAAAGAATAACGTTTTAGCTACGCGGCTGCATAACACCGGTATTACACCTGTGGAAGAAAGGAGGAATGCATTCAAGAGAAATCATTTAAAAAAAGCTCACCAAACAGCAAGTGTGTGATAAAGATGTCTTTGCCTGTTACACAGCTGTTGCGTTTAAATAGCTGGCTGTAGAAACGGCAGAGTCGGAGGTTTGTATGAAGGTTTTTCAGCTCTGTCTGCAGAAAGGGGCAGAAGCGATGTGACATTGACCAATGAACGTGATGCGTTCGCCATACGCTCATTCTGTGATTGGCTGCCTCTTAGTCTGCTGTTCACCTTCCATTCATTTCTCCTGCCAGATGTATATTTACCTCGCCCGCTACTGGTGTCTAGACACGCATGGAAACGAGCTCTACGTTAGCATCGACAAGTGAATTAAAACTGCGACACAAGTGAAGAAGGAGGAAGGGGGGGATTTCGGGACCAAGCTGATTTTATTTTTGCATGTATTTGCTGGTACCGGTCCGCCCATAGAGAACATGTAGAGATGCTTGGCTCGTTTTGTCACGTACCCCGCACACACTCCGCTGCTAAAAATACATTATTATTATTAATATTGTTCTTGTTGTATTTGTTGTTTTATCATTTAATAATACAACACAATTGTATTTACAGCTACATGGGCAGTTTACATGGCAACAGTGCAAATACTCCCTGTAAGTCGTACAGTAGCTGTCACTTCCTCAATGGTGTAAAACCTGTGAAGTTAAACTATATTTATATAAAAAGGACAATATATCAATATAATGTAATAAATTGAAAAAATAGATATAATCTAATCTATAATCTCTCATATAATTTATAATCAACCACAAATGTTAAAACGCTTGTAAATCATTTCAGGAGGAAAAACTATTCTAAACCCATGGACTGTATGTAATAGTTTAAACGAGTTACACCTCACTTCGGGTTGCTGTTTTGGAGTGAGGTTGCACACCAACTGGACTGTGAACGTCTTTGACACCAGCTGCTGGTTGTTTGTGAAACAGCAGCAGTCACATGCAGTAACTTAACATTTACTCTCTCGCTTTATTTTCATTGTGTTACCAATCCATTTCTGTTTTGTGTGTGGGACATTGGAGAGTGCACTAGACTAAATTCCCATTTAAGCACAGTCATTTTGAATAATAATAGTACATTTGGGATACATCGTGGACATTAAGGTTTCTCTGACACCGGATAAATACAGTGTAGAATAAAAATAAACAGATGCACATACCATCAGTTTTTCTCTAAAAAAAAAAGAGTCCTTATACAGTAATGTATAGTAGCGAACCTGCTTTGTTTTTTTTTTCGAACCTGAGTTGCATTTACGTGGTATGGTTTTTCTCCTTTTGAATGTACTGACACCAACCACCCAACGTTCTGCTATTTTCTTCTGGCTCCTAATTATACACCCTTTGTCTTTATTGTCTTTATGACACATGTAATCACTTTTTCTGGTGTTTCATTATAGAATCATATAAAAATTGGAAACAAATACAACACTCCTTTCTTGTGTCGTTGTGTTTATTTATTCATTTTTTTCTATTTTCCTTTGATTGAATGTGAATGCGTTGCCAGAAACAGAAAGACCACAGAACTTCCATTAGGACTTCCATTAGGTTCTGAGTGCAGTGCACCTCTTTGATTGTAATCAGTAACTGATATCAGAAACACCTGTGTGATTTCTGTCTGTTTGTATGTGTCAGGCAGGCAATAAGAAAGACCCAGATGAAAACAGACAAATGACTGTAACTGACAACCATTGTGGCAGTCAGTAACACCCAGAAAATACACCAGAGTTCTGGAGAATGGTGTGAGTTGTTATAGAGCTAAATGAGATGTAAATGAGATGTACATAGCTTACAATTGTTTCCTCCTATGATCTAATGGAAGCTACTGTAACCCTGCCCTTTCACCTACTTTCCTTTTTCTTTTTGCAGATGGCTTTAGATGCACAATGCCACCTACTGGGTGTATTTTCCACTTGTAAACATCTCCCGCAAGAAAGAAAGAAAGGAAAGGAAACAACCACAACACCTTTATTGATCAATATTTAGATTTATTTACTATGTTTTTCAGCCATCTTCTTCTTCTTTTTGCTTTGTCCCTTTTTCACCCATAGTTTTCCTGAATGTTGTACAGAAACAAAACGTCACAAGGACATATAAAATGTCAATCATAATATATTGCGTCTGATTCTAATTATTGTTTCTGGGTATTGTTTTCAGACATACCATTAAAATGAACCACTGACGCAAGTACTAGTGCACAAAACGTGCATTAAAAAACCGACGATTTGGCTCCATCTAACGGAGAAATGAGGTGGCGCAGGAAGCCTGCGCTGGACCTATGTAAAGCACGCAGTGCTAACCTATCTCGAAAACCTCCAGAAAACAGCAGCAGTAACGCTCTCACAGCAGTTAAATTCGTGTCGGAATCATCGGAATCATTCACTGTAGCATCCCCATGACGGCACCAGGAGAAGGTTGTATTTGGTTCTGGTCCAGTTAGCCACAGCTGCTGCCGCTGCTGCAATGGAGGTAAACAGGGACGAGGCGGAGCGCTGCATTGATATTGCAACTGCAGCGTTGAAGAATGAACAGCCAGAGAAGGCGCAGAGGTTCCTGGAGAAAGCGCAGAGACTGTTCCCCACAGAGAAGGCCAAGGGTAAGTTAAAATGGCCGTCCCCGAGGACGCTGCAGAGGGTAGGTGGTCAGCATCCTCATCGCTTAGAGCTGCATCACCTGCATCCAGGACGTGCTATGCTGCAGACGCCTGTACACCAGGCCGTTACACCCTCAGTAGCTGAATCTGCCATACTAGCAACTCCAGTATGGTCGAAATACATACACTTTAACTGCATTTTCGGTAACTTATTGCTTAGGAAAATACTTTTATTTTTGTCAATATAGTGAGAGGTCCATGACGTCATTCACCTATCAGCTGTTTTTCTGTAAGAAAGCTAAACGTAAGTGACAGAATGTCATTCTCCCATCGCAGACAGACACTCGAATAGTATAGTTCTAACATTAGACTCTAACTTAATCCATCCATTATACTTCTAATCCTAACTGGCACTGGTGGCTTACTGGTTAAGGAAGCGGACTTGGGTTGTAGGTTCGTGTCCACCAGCTGCCAAGTTGACCCTGAGGTGCACTGCAGCCTAGATGGTCTAATTAAAGAGCACCCACCTCTGTATAGTCTGTATTGTTCTTCCAAGTTTTTGGGACACAAATAGTGACAATTATCTCAACCCTTACTAAAACTGTGTCAGTGGGACATTCATTGTAACAGAAACTGAGTGTTGACATAAAAATAGGGAAAACACAGAAGGAAATATTTGTGGGGCATGTTAAATAGAACTATTGAACCAGAGGGTCAATGAATGTCTGTAACTTTATGTTACACTTCAAATGGGTGCAATGACAATGGTAAAGCTACACATTAAGGTCTGATCTTAGACCAACATTTGTTTCTAAATGCCTTGGGTCTCGTAAAAACATGTTTGATCTTAGTGGGATTACAGCTAATAATCCTGCTCTGGTTTGAAGCTGACAGCTGTATTTTATTTGAATCACAATGACCATCTTTATTAGCTCAATAAATCGAATAAACGTTTTAACCCGATAATAATTTATGACTAATCTGTTTTTGATGAGTTGAAAAAAAGAAAGAAAAACCACTGGAGTCACTTCTTCCTTGTGCATCAACTGTATGTTCCATTATGGTTTTAGTGCTGCTGGACCTAATAGAAAAGAATGGATTCACACCCAGTCAAGGAAACCACTCAGCGTTCAATGGAAGTGCTGGGCTTCGACAGCGGCAGCCTGTTAGCGAGGAGGCCAAACCTGAGGAAAAGCCCACGGAGGCAGCTAAATCCTATTCATCAGAACAAGTGGAGGCTGTGAGAAGGTACGAGTGACTCATGTCAGTCTGTGTTTAAAAGACTCTATGTGGAGATTTACACCTGTTTAATGTGTTTTTTTTACACAGAGTAAAGCAATGTAAAGACTTCTATGAAATTCTCAGCGTGCAGAAGGACGCCTCTGAGGATGAGCTGAAAAGATCGTATAGAAAACTCGCTTTAAAATTCCACCCTGACAAGAATCATGCACCAGGTGCCACGGAAGCATTTAAAGGTATACACATTTTTTTGTTTCTAAGTGCTAATGTTGCTGTTAGGCCAAATATATATATATATTTTTTTTATGAAATTTGACTGGTACTTGTGTGTTTCCAACAGCCATTGGTAATGCATATGCCGTTCTGAGCAACGTTAACAAAAGAAGGCAGTATGACCAGTGTGAAGAAGAGAGGAAACACCCGTCACGACAAAGCCCCAGTGATAGGAACTTTGAGCCAGATATTTCACCCGAAGACCTCTTTAATATGTTCTTTGGAGGCGGATACCCATCAAGTGAGTGACTACTTATTTACATCTTTGTACCCAATGGTGTTAATGAGTTTAATCGGTTAAAACCTGTGCTGCATTTCCCCAGGTAACGCTCATGTGTATACTAATGGACGGGTACGTCATCCAAGGCGAGAGAGGAGAGAGAGACAGGGAGATGTAAGTGTGGTGATACTTGCAGGTGTGCAGCAGATGTGATGTAATGCAGTTGTTAAACAGCAGAGGGAGACGTTAGTTTAAACACCAAGCACTTCCTTTGTCTCAAGATTTTTTTTCTATATCTGCCTTTGATGCTTTCCTTGCAGGGAGGTCTTGCTCTCTTCGTTCAGGTTATGCCCATCCTCATCCTGGTTATTGTATCTGCTCTCAGTCAGATCATGGTCAACAGCCCCCCCTACAGCCTCAGCTTCAGGCCGTAAGTGTGATCCCTGACCTCTGAAACCACATCTAAGAGAATTTACCTATATAACATAACAAACTTATTTGGAAATTCTGCACAAAATCAAACGCAGATTTGTTTGAAGGTGGTTAATTAACAAAAGTAAGCTAAGGTCCAGTTCGTCTGTTTCTCTATGTCTTGGAAACACTTCCTTATCCCCGTGTAGGTCAGCAGGTTACACACAGAAGAGGCTGACAGAGAAACTGAAGGTGCCATATTACGTAGGAGAGCAGTTCTCCAAAGATTTCACTGGAATGGACCTGAAGAATTTGGAGCGAGCTGTGGAAGACGATTACATTTCCAACCTTCGCAACAACTGCTGGAAAGAGAAACAGCAGAGTAGGTTCTCCACCCCTGGGTTAATGATTTGAAGATGGGTTTTTTGGATCTATATCTATATACGTCAACATGTTTTTTTTCCTTCAGAAGAGGGAATGCTGTACAGGGCTCGATATTTTGGAGACAGTGATCTGTACCAAAGAGCACAGAGGGCTCGAACACCAAGCTGCGCTAAGCTGTCCGAGATCACAGCCTCACTACACGGCTGATGCTGCTGCCACGGTTAAAAAGCAAGTGTTTAATTAAAACTCTGTGAACATTTTATTTTTTCCTCCATCGATTTAATTCTCCTCCATCTTTTTTCTCTGCAGGTTTCTAATAACACATTATTGGCTGTACATAAATGAGCTTTAATAATCGACGGATGAAGACGACAACAAGCAACACAAACCAACCAGCACTGACCTGCAGCAACCACACACGCTGGATCAAACAATGGGGTTTTTGCTGTGTAACGGTTAAATATAAGGTCAGAGGGAAAATATACGTTTTTTGATGTATAAAAGATAGTTTAGGTCAGTGATTGTCAACTGGTGGCCCGTGGGTCGAATCCGGCCACCCGAACCAATCTGTCAATCTGGCCGGAGACTGGATTACAAAATAAACATCAAATAATACTCTTAGACAAAAATGTGGTTAATATTTTATTTTATTTGCGTGTCCAGCCCCCCCAAAATGTTGGTCATCCAACAGATATAGTTGGATGACTCATGGTTTAGGTGTTGAATTCAAAGACTCAGACACTCACTCTCTGGCAAATAAGGTGGCTAGCAATTACCTGCTTACATCTGCAGTATCAGAAGATTGAGGGTTTTTTTTTTCATTTCTGAAACTAAAATAGTCTGCAACACCAAAAAAACACTGTTTTTAGCCTGTTGAGATATGGAAATGTCTTTCTGTTGTTACAGCAAGAACGAACAGTTCGATCTTCATCGGCTACTGATGTTCCTTCTGGAAGGAATTCGTACATTGTCCCCATGCTTATGTTTCTGGATTTCCTGGTTTTCTCCCACAGTCCAGAAACAGCACTGCAGCACACACAGTTTCACACACACAGCAGCCAAAAATAAGAAGATGCAGCATTAAAAACAAGGGTGGAAAAATGACATAAATAAGTATGCAGATAGAAAACTCATGTAAAGTAGTACGCCCTCTTCTGGCTGCGCAGAAGTAGGTTATTTTGATACTCTAATTTAACTCCAGGTGTGTTTCAGGATGATTAGCTCCAGCCTGGCTGCAGTTTCTGATGTAGGTCATGTAAGTAAGCTAACAACGGAATACATATACTGAAATTATACTAATGACACATGATGTAAGATGCTGATCTAGGGCAAACAGCTAACAAATGGCTAATGTGATTTTTCATCTGAACTTGCGTATTGTGAGTGACTAAGAACTTGTATTCTTGTATTTGACATTGTGTGACACAGTAGAACCCACACTTGACACACCTGAACTAACCCTTTAACATTAAAAAAACCCTGAAGTATCACAGAATATTCCTCCGGTATATTTGAGCATAAGAAAAAGCCACGTCTTGACTTTTCCTCCTCCTCCCCGAGGAGATACGGGTTTGGAAAACATCTGTGCTTTTTTTGGCAGTAAACTCAAAAAGCCATGACAGTGACGGAAGTCGTGCAGTAGAGCAGAGCTTAGCCTGGTTAGATATGGTACGTATGTTATTCATGTAGTGGTCTATTAGACACCCATGCTTCCATTTTCATCTGCAATCAAATAAATGGAGATGAGGGCGAACGTGCTTGTACTACTTCACATGCACTGTGGGAAACTTTGCAGGAGAAATGTGAAACCTCTGATGAAAAAACAGTCTTGTCTGTGGTTTGTCAGATGAAGACATTGGAATTCTGCTGTATGTGTGTGAGTGTGTGTGTGAGAGAGAGGGAGAGAAATTCTCTAAAAGATTATTCAGGATGTGCCCCTTTCCTACATTTTTTACTACATTTTTCCCCTTTAATGTCATCAGAGGTAGTATTACATAGCCTGACCCAGGGACCTCATCATAAAAGGCCAGGAGAGATATTCCTACTCACAAAGTGGGGGCTGTGACGGGCTGTAACTCTTCATGTGAGGCTCTCATCTGTTGCACATTTGGAGTTGTTTTATTATTTTTATTGTTTGTCAAAAAGGAACAAACCCAGTACTTGCAAACTCCCCTTTCCATCATATTTTTACTGCTGAGAGAAAATAAATCTGGAATGCATAAACGCGTTGGACGTGATTCATTTTCTGTGAGGCAGAATGTGGAAACAAAACCTCAGTCAGCACATTTGGCACTGTGAAAACTGCCGGCCGCCTCTGCTGACCCAGATTGGGAACAGGAAACATGGCTCTGCGCACGTTCACATTCTGGCAGACGTGCGGCATGTGCTCAGCAGCGACTGCTGTGTCAGGAGTTAGTCAGTGCATGTGTGCTCATCTGGATGGGACTGCTGTTTCACTTATTTATTTTTTAAATGACTTGCAGTTTCGTGTTGGCTAATTCCACACTTTTTCTTTGTCACTCTCATGTGAGTCACAAAGCGCTTACGTGCCCATCAGCTGATCTAGCTCTGTGACGTGACGACTTATTTTCACTTTCCACCTCTTGATTGAATGACTTGTTTCATACTGTCATACTACTTAAAAACATTTTTCCGTATTTTTGTGCAGCAACTTTACAACATACGAATCATTGTAATGGTACAAACTGACAGAAGACTTGATTCTTACAAAAATAATTTATTTGTGATCATGAAAGTACAAAAATCAGTGCAATGTTATGTCAAAATGAGTATTTGAATATCAAATAAATAAAGTTGAAAGCAGGTCTACACACATACATGATATCAAGCTCTTCTACAGAGGCCTTCTGTATGCGTCAGCCTTCGTCTCAGTCACTCAGATCCCTCACAGTCTGCTCGACAAAAAAATTGTTATTTGGGAGTAAATTGTCAGGTAATACAAAAAAAAATGTAAAAAGAAGCACAACGACTATAAACTTATCTCTAGCTGCCAATGTGTAGTTTCCACAGAAACCAAGGTATACATCAATATACCTGCACAAATGCTAGTAACTCTTTAAAGCATGGTGATTACAAAATAACATTAAAAACAAGATGGAATGTCATCGATGAGCGGCGCCTCCTTCAGGTGCAATGAACTTAAACCGATGTAAACCAATAACTACAGCCAACATGTGGACTCCTCAGGTACCATCAGTCGTACAGTAACTGTAATAAGACCCTTCTATTAGACTCGGTCAGCTCGTTCAGTCCCCCATGTCGTTCAACATTCTTCAATAAGGAGATCTTCAGAACAATACAGTTTTTTCTTGATCACACGAAAACCAGTGCTCAGTTTGATGGCCTGTCTCACTACTGGAGCGGAGGGAGACTTGGAGCTAAAAAGTCCTTGGATTTTGGGCCACAGGCCCCCAGACTCCAGCCTCAACACCAGAGTCAGCTGAAAGGTGGGCACCAGGTAGGGGTCCACAGATAGCTGCCCTATGCTCTCACAGACCATATCTTGCTCTACGCACAGGTCGATGAGAGCCCCCCTAAGTCCACAGGGCTCGCTGGCTGCCAGGTGGAGGAGCTCCTGTCCGATGTTCTCCAGAAGTTTCTCCGGGATGAGCAGTTTGCTGCACCGCAAGGCGCAGTCTGCGTCTTTGGCTTCTCGTAAACTGTTTGCAATTAGCTCCACCACGTCCTTCAGGATCAGCTCCTCCATTGGATCGTGAAAGAGGTCCTCGTAAGAGGGAGTCAGGTCATTCGAGGTGTCGGACCCTGTGATAGAAAGAAAAAAAAAATGGTTACAAACTGGGCTCTACTGTAGTGTTGGAAAGATACACACCGACTTTGAATTTGAACATTCTAAGATGTGTTTGCGGCTTTTCTAACCTGAGTCAGAGAGATCACTCCCACTGTCGCTGTTGTACCCCAAATCTATGCTGCTGTTCGCAGATGTGCTGAAATCCGTCAGCCGCTGCACCAGCTTGCTCCAGGACAGTCTTCTGGGACTCTTGTCCACTGGAGATGGAGGTGGGACGACGGCATCAGTTGATGCAGAAAGAGTAGGCATAGTTGTCCTCTTAGCTGCTATTCTTTCCCCTGTGGTGCTGCTTTCTATGTGGAATGAAGAACAATAGATTAGCACTCAAACTCAAATACTGCAACTGAGATTCGCTTCAATAGATAAATTATAATATGCGTTAAATTTAAAGCTACTTAAATGCCATGTAATGCACGACTTTGCTGTTAACAACTTCCAAAGAAAACAACTGGACGTTTTTCTATAGGTCCAGATTAACAGACAAAAACATGCAAAGTGCAATATTTATGACAGCGTACTTACAGCTTATTCTGCAAAAGCCTTGACGAAGTCTTTCAATGGCATTGATCGTTTAATTCAACGCTTATTGTCTTCTACAAATGCAGAGAGCTTCTGTAGTACACGTCTCCTCCGTTCTTCTACCAGCTGCCAGGCACAGAAGTCTGTCCTGCAACAATGCTTATATAGGGACTCGGTTAGTCACACCCCCTGCCTCCCCACTAAACCAATCAAAAACGGAGGCACGCCAACTGACCTGTATCCTGCCTGGTAACATGCCAGCAGAGAAGGACAAACAAGGGGAGGGGCAGCGGGGGCTGAACAGCAGAGCGCAGTGTTATGGAAATGTACAGAGACTTGCCTGGACTTGCAGGGACCGTTAAAGTGATTCTTTTGTTCAATTTTTTTTTCACAAAAACATGTTACGATATATTTTTGACATGTATATTTTCACGCACATTTTTATGCTGCAGCAGTGAATAGCTCCATGCAAAGGTCCGTACTGAGCTGGTTCAGTGCTGCAGACAGTGCAACATTACGTCACTTGTTTTGCCCAACCATTACATCATTTATTTCATTCTAGCACACAAAGATAAGATGAGCACAAACACACAGTGAGAGGAAAACGACGCAGGTGACAGGACAGGAATTTAATGAAACGTTTTTAAACCGCAGGCATGTGTTGCATGACATGCATATAGTTCAACAAAGGAATAATGATCAAAACAACAAAAAAAACATTGATTATTTAATTAATTATTATAAATTTAATTAATTAATTACGTATTTTATGCTGCATTGTCCCATGTTATTGCAAAATACATGCAATGCACCAAAACTGACCAGAAAATATTTAACTACTACACTTTCTTTTGTTTTGCACCAAAGCAATGGTCACATTAACTGTGAAAAATGTATTTTTATGATTTTTTTATCTTTTTCTTTTTCACACTACCAAAAAATAAATTAAAACAAATCTGTAGCAAAGTCTGTTCCTCAAATCTAATCACACATCTCCAAAATACTGCAAAACAAGATTGCACCAAAATATATAAATAAATAATTGAAATTCATATTGTCATATTTTACCCCTCATTGTATCCCCACACTAACAAAGATTCCCTGTGCAGAATCAAGAAAGCTACAAAACCTGGGTTGGTAGGATGTATGTTGTTTATACCTTATACTCAAATCTGTCCACAAACATACTGCAACATAAAATGTTTTTATACAATTAAAAACAATTACTGCAAATTACTACAAAATTGCACCTAAACTGTTTTCAGTAAAATTGAGGCTAGCATTTAACATCATACGTTCTGAACTTCTGTACTGCATAACAGTAATTCTCAGCTTTTTTGCATAAATGTTTCCATTAAAAACCCACACAGTGACAGAGTTACACAAATGGAAGAGCAAACATATAAATAGTTCATAATCCTAGGGAAAAGCATGAAGTACTTAGCGCCAAAGGGTAGAAACTGCTGTTGTTTACGTGTGCAGGACGTATTTGCAACACATGTACAGTGTTGGCTCAGGAAACTTTTTTGGCCAGCTGCCAGATATCAGCTGCGTCGCAACACGTGAGTGGGACGGGCCATACACCCAGCCAGGGAGGAACTGAAAAGACGTAAACATGTGCAGGCACAGTATGTTCTGGGGGTTGTTATGAATTCAATGTCACAGAGCTGTGGTGAGGGGGTGAAAAAAACACTCCCTTTGTTACACATACAAAGGTTCTGTGGATACAAGCATCTGCAGCCACACACAAAAGCAGTCGCAGAAGGTAAATCTTACACCGTGTGCTGTAAAGTGATCCCTTGTGTTGGGAGTTCTGCCATAAAGAAATTTTAAGCTGCAGCTGGAGGCTTGTCTTATTTCTGCCCTGAGACATTCGGACTGAACAGGACATACTGTTCGTCCCCGCCCCTCGTCTGTTTAAAAACACACTCACTTAGGCAGCAAAACAGCAAGTCCTGCACGTCAACGCTCAACAGGGACGTGACACAGAAACATTCTCATCCATTCGTTTTGGGCTGCGGTCCATTCATTTAAAAAGACAAAGACCGACTCAGATACAGGCTGTGCGTGAAGAGATTCGATTTATTCGTCTTTTTACAATGTTATACAAACGAACAGCAGAGTGAAAACAAATTTAAAAAAACAATCCATTAAACACACAAATTGGAGGATTGCAAACTTTGTTTTCCCCAAGGGCTGATGATTAAAATACACTCAGAGTACAGCTTAAGCACACTTGAGGTTTTTAGATGTAAAAGTTACAGAGCTGCAACGTGGAAAAACACCTCTCTAAAACGGATCTGTTGCTTTTGTACATTTTTTTTTTGCCAGAGGCCACAGAGAAGGTTGGACTGTTAGACTCTTTATTGGCTTAGACAAAATGAAACAGAGTAAATTTAAAAATGTTTCCAAACTTACAAGCAGAAGAAAAAATGTACTGCATTAGACTTAAAAATACTGGGGCAAGCTTAAAAAAAACATAAAAAAAAACAACTTATAATGACATAATGGCATTTGTTCATTTTGACTTATGACGGCGTAAATCCTAACAGTTGTTCAATCGGTTTGTAACGCCACTCATCTGCTTCCAGCTCCTCCACTAAACTTGCCAATTTCTCCATTCGAGACACTTGCTGATCTGGAAGAAAACAACAAAAACACAGGCACTGAATCAGTTCTATTGCCTTCACTGCACAAAGCAAATGCATTTTTGTGCAAACCCTGCATTTACAGTTGTTGGCTTACCATGTTTAACCTGCTTCAAGGTGGAGGCCACTTGGTAGCTAAAAACAGACTCGCATAAAAATCTGTCCGAGCCATCTGAGAGAGAAAACACGGCAGTTAAGGTATAAAATGTAACAAGTGTATTTAGTAACTAAAACCTCAGTCAGGTTTAGTTTAGATGTTGTGCAACTGCAACCTCATGTAAAAGGGCCATTCATAGTTTAAATATAGTGTAGTATCAGAAAAACTATAAAACACAGAGGAGCTGTGTGAGCGCTTTAGCACCACCACAGATATTTTTATTATATGTTTGTTTGTTTGTTCATGTTTACTTTGCTGTGCTTTGCTGCCAAACCAATTGTATTAATCAGAGTAATTGATTGACAGAGTCATTTGGTCAGAAATTTGGACTGGACCTTTAGTTTACATGTAGATTTAAGGTTTTTTTTATTATTGTCTAACAAGTGAAAATAAAAATAATAAAATATTTAACATGTACGTTTTTGGCCATTATTTAACCGAATGCCAAAAGATGTTTGACTATATTTCAACAGTGTTACTGATTAGTGATTTGATTGGATATTCATATAATTCAATGCACAGCTGCTATTGGGTGCAAACCAATGCCAAAGCTAAGTTATATTTGGGGTTATTCAAAACTATTAATCATAAGCTAAAAACGGATCCCAGTCGTAACCCCAGTCATTTAATGGATGAAATAAAAGTACAATTCTGACGAAGAGCATTGGGATTTCAATATTTCGAGTCATGAGTTTACAAGTAACTTGTTTCCTGGTAACTAATGGCTCAACAAACAAGAAAAGCGTGTATATATAATGATATATACAGTCTTACCTTCCATCATTTCACCTGCGCCTTTAGGGTAAGTATACAGGACTTTCCTTGGTGGGATGAGCTCTGAAGCACTAAATCCAGAGCCAGTCACTGAGCTGCCGCTCACACCTCCGGCAGAAGACGATGAAGAAGACGCTGCCATCGCCTTTAAAATCGTTAAGACGTTAAAAAGCAGTCGAGCCTTACTGAACCAGCACGCTTACTCAACTGACAAGCTAACGATACAGGGTGGCTAGCAAAACTAGCCTTCCTAACCAGCTAGCATTAATCAAATTTAAAATATCAGGTTACTGTAAAAAAGCATTTTCTGCACAAATAATGTTTAACAAGTATGAATTAAACAAGATGTTATTGTGAACACGCGCTGGGGTTAAATGTGTGACGTAATCACTATTATGATTAGTGGAGTTCTTACCCTGTTAACGACAATTGAAACGCTTTACGACTGAAGTTTACGACAGAATCAGTTATTTTGTTGCAACAATAATATTAGAATGCGCTGTAGAATTGTTCCAGCAGGTGGCGATACGATAACTGCAAATATGTGAATTACAAATACAAATTCCAAAGAAGAAAAGGCTAACATACCGTTTAGCAAAAGTAGCAGCATTACTTTCTCAGTAGCAGTTTTGCTTTACCGACACTGTCAACTAGATATCATGGATGTTTTACGGCCATCTTTAATCAATATAAATGGAAGAATTTATAGAAGAAATATTATAAAAGAAGAACAGTATGAGGACGAAGAGGACTTCTCCTACATGGACGCTCCAGGTTAGTCGGTCCTCACAGCAACTATTCAAACGCCAAATAAACTTAGTGCAGTCCGTCAACTTTACAACGTAAATAAACTTCGTGTGTGTATACTTTACATTAAGCGATGGCCGCTTATTTTATTTTTTTTTTATAAATACAGTTCAACTTAAATTAAATCTTGTTTAATGTAGCTTATATCTGGATATTTTGTGATATCCTCTCCCCATTACCCAGAACAAATTATATTTGATTTTATGACGTGAAAAAGTTTAAGATTTAGAAAAACTGATATATTTATGATTTCCACCATTAATAGAAATAAATCAGTCAATATTGCATACGCAGGGACTTTTGCAGAGAAGAGTTGGAATAAAATGAATTGTGGTTATCTATTTCTACTCTTGAAGGAATACTTTGTTTTAATGGTAGATATAAATATACGCAATTCGACATGTTGATCTCAACAGGTATTGCAGATATTGCAGAAGATGAAACCTGTGACACTCACCTCATTGAGCAGACTGATAAAGGATACCGCTGTGCCATTGATGTGCCAAGTGTCCTTTACAAGTGAGATGTTCAATATTTATGTTGTTTCTTTCTTTATATATATATATATATATATATAAATATATATCTTTTTAACCCTGCAACCAAACACAATGAAGTGGTAAGGATTGTTTTTGGTTTTTCTACAGATATATCATTGGGAAAAAGGGAGAGACACGCAAACGGTTGGAGACGGATACAAAAACATCTATTAACATACCCAAACAGGGAGTGGAAGGGCAGATTGGTCAGTGTAATTTCTATCTTATTGTCCAACTCTTCTTGTTTAAATTACAGCAGTACAGCATGTGTGCACATAAGCGAAACTACTGTTGCTTAAACCTTTTCCTGAACTCCTCACAGTTATTACAGGATCTCACAAAGCTGCAGTCTTATCTGCTGTCACACGAGTTGAAGTACTTGTTGACAGCTTCCGCAGAAAGCAACCCTTTACGCATTTCCTGTCATTTCCTCTGAATGATCCCAAAATTCAAGAAGGATTCCTGAGATTTAAAGATGATGTGCTACTTCAGTGTTCACAGGTAGATTGTCCAAACTTATTTTACAGCTTATTACAGCTGATAATTTGACAGTCAAAATGTTTATTTGTCTTTAAAAAAATGTCTATGTATAACTTTTAATAAAAGCACAGTAGTAGTAGTTGTAATTGATGCTAACTATTTGTTATGAATTCACATGTAGGATAATGGAGTAGATGAGAGCATCTTTCAAAACCCTGCAAAGCTTCACCTGACAATCGGGACCTTATCTCTTTTAAACGAAATGGAAGTGAGAAAAGCATATGAGCACCTTCAAGAGTGTCAGATGTTCCTCAGGTGGGGATCTTCTGAATTTCCTATATTATATTTTTTATAATTTCTTCCTCAGGTGGGGATCTTCTGAATTTCTTATGCTGTATTTTACCTGAAATGTACAACTTTATTGTAATAAAAAATATAACTTGCAACTTCAGCCTGGTCTGGGCGGAATGCCCTTTTATTAGAATTATCTAAAAAAGGAAAGACACAATATTTTTAAGCCAGACCCAGTAGTGTATGTCATGTACATTGGGTCCTTATTTGTTAGACATTAAAATCAAGTCCTGTGTAAACAGTAGACACAGACTGAGGAATTTTCTGACAATTGTAAAAATGCAGTTTACCACAGAGGTATTGCACTGATTAACAAGTGTTGTATGAAGACAGCATATTGAAGAGTTTTTGTTGTCTATCAACAGGGACATCACAGAAGGCAAACCTTTGCCTTTGGAAGTAAGGGGTATAGAGTATATGAATGATGACCCAGCCATGGTGGATGTCCTGTACGCTAAAGTCAATGTGACAGATGGGTCTGACAAGTAAGTAGAAGTCAGATCTTGGAAGAATTAAATCAATAAAAAAAAGGCATTTGCTGCAATCTATTAATCTGGTCGTAATTTCAAGTTTACAGGTAATAGCAGATCGGCTGGTGGAGCACTTTGTCTCTGCAGGTCTCATGGTCAGAGAGTGGGACAAAGTGAAGCTACATGGCACTGTGATGAACACGCTGTTCAGAAAGGACTCAACAGGTAACAACACAGAGCAACCACGAGATGCTAATCTGCAGAAACAGAAAAACAGCATCTGATCGTGTGGCTTGTTATCATCCGGCCGTTATTGCATCAGTCACTTCTCCTGCCCTGAACCTATTTGCTGATGTCCTGTTGTCGTCTTTTGGCTCGGAGGTAGTCTGCTGTGACGGCAGAGATGAACGGTCAGCCACTGCAGAGACAATGTCCAACAGTGGCAGATTGCCCTCTGCTTGGCCCCTGCTCTGTCTACATGTACCAGTCTGCGTATTTTCTTAGTACTCTGACAATGATTTCATTCATTTTGGTCATGGATCAGGTCCAGACCCAGTCCTCAATTAGTTCTAAAGAGGAAACCAACAGACAGAAAACAAGGGAGGAGCAGGGTCACAACTGACCTTGTTTACCTGCATGTGGTCAAATCTGATTTTTTTTAACACTAGCTACTGTCAGTACCTCAGCTGACCTTGGTCTTTAACTATTAAACCTCATCCGAATCAGCATGTTTATTTGATCAGGATGTGACATTTTTTGTTAACAGGCATGTTTTCTTCTCTAGCTGAAGACACAGGAGGCCAAAGAAGACAAACCTTGAATGAAAGAGAAGCGTTTGATGCCAGGAACATATTAAAGGTTGTAGCAAATTTAGTTTGTGTTAGTGTCGTTCATTACTTCTAGCTGATAACTCTTTCCTTATGTGTGGTGCAGTGTCTGTCAGAGTATATTTTTTCTACCCTGGTGATATTTTAACTAGGACTGTCTATCCATTAAAATGTTGTGTTTTATCAGATGACTCTCAGGGTTAATATAAAATAATCATATGATAAATCTGCTCTAAACACATCTGTTTTGTTGTGATCACAGAAATTTGCTGCCTATCCTTTTGGAGAGTTTGAGCTGAACTCAGTCCTTCTGTCCCAGAGATATTCCACAGACTGTACAGGCTACTACAGCTCTGCAGGAAGCATCTGCTTTTCCTGAGCTCACGGACAGGTAGGAAATTGTCATCCAAAAAAACATTACATGTATGTACGGTAAGTAAATGTTTGACCCGTGTTGTCCATTAGGTGGCAGCAGTGTAATTTGTTTATAAGAGTTCTTCTGTACTCTAAGGCCCTGCCTTGAGTACAACTTCCATATAATTGGCATAGTTCAACTTTTAATTAAATACATGGCTGCTTTCACGGCTTTGTATTCAGATTTAAAAATAGTTTTATTTGGAAATACAGTATGTGAAGGACATTCTCAGGCAGTCGTTCATTTGTCCATTTGTTTGAAAGCACGTATCATATGGTAGACAGTGTGGTGAACAGCCGGTGGCAGCTTAAACTGATTTCCACAGACCTGACACCTTCTATGGATAATTCAGAGCCTGTACTTAACCCAACATTTATTTTTCAAGACTTTGGTCATAACCAGTGCATCTGAGGACAAGGGGTGACGCCACAGGGAGAGCATAACTCCACACAGAAGGATATCAACTGAATCCACATAAAAGGAGTCATTTTGTGTTCTTCTTTAATTAGTATTTGTTAAAGTGAAGTTAAATAACTGTATAAGTCCAACTGTCATTTGGATGTCACAGAAAGAATATATATTATTTTTTATTAGTACATTTTGTTTTGGGAAGTGATCAAATTTACTGTGACATTATCCTTGTTTCAAGGAGGAGTATTTTGAACAAACCCCTGAAAAAGCAGAAAAACCTGCTTAAAAGATATTCGTTTGGTGGTGCTAATCCTTGAAAATACTGTTTTATACTGCGATGATCAGATGGTGCTTTGTCATACTGAGCTTTCAAAATGCGGAGCACTCCGTTTACATGGAGGGGGTCATGTTGTTTTAACCTTTCTCCTTTTATATAGCATTTTCATGTATGTGTAAAATTGTCCACACAAATTCACACACACATCCCCCTGCACGAACCTCCAGCCGTGTCCCTGTCTTTTCAGAATCCTAATTGAATGCAGTCACTGGACACAGAGTTTGTCCTCTTGCCCCCTGCCTACTCCCCCTCAGCTGCTCATCCTCTCTGTTTGGCATGCAGCAGGGCCACTGCAGAGTGGCCAAAAGTTACACTGATGGAAACTGAGGGTGCATTTTGTTTGTCAGCAGTGCCATCTTGTGCTGTCCACCCTTCTGTTTCAGCACTGCCATGGAGTTTTTTTCCCCCCTCCTTTTTTCTCTCCCGCACTCCTGGAATCTTGCCACCAGACACCATTAAGACTGGGGACATGCAAATTTGGTCTTCAGATAATGGCCAGCCAGCCAGTGGAGCCATTCAGGCATTGACTGTTGAACTGCCTGGGCCAAAGATGTATCTGTTCAGACCCAGAAAAGAGGGCCTAATTACCCCACTCCCTGTCTCCTGAGAGCATGCTTGTTAGTGGGTCAGCGGTACACATCCAGCTTAACGCCACTCTCAGGTGTCTGACACAGTAGAGGCGCCGCAGATCTCTTTTACTATTGGTCATGAGAGCAGAAATACAGGGCGTGAGAGAGACGTTGACAGTAATGGAATTCACCGCAACCGTATGCCTCGTTGTTTCCTGTGACAGGGACATGATCAAGGACACATTGGACAGATGTCCTCCCTAATGACCCCGCTAAAAACATGTGTGGAGGAACATAGGTCTTTTCCCAGACAGGCTCAGATGCAGAAAACAGAATTCATTTGTCAGGAGATATAAATGTATAAAAGACGCTGTGTGTTTATTCAAATACAAATAGCCCTGTGTGTGTGACTTTGGAAAAAATAGTACTGGTGCTTTATCCTTGTGGGGATGTTTTCAGGCACACATGCTGTGTTCCTTGTGTCCAGTCTTCTCTATAATTATATTTTGATTCTCTTACTGCAGAAAGTCTTGCTTTACAAACACTGAATCTTAATAAAACAGTCTGTGCTTTTTCTGTGGTTTGTTCAGAATATTTCTCCTCAAGTGATGTCTTGATGTTCTTTTTTTACTGCACAATTTCCTGATTATTTTATTAATAAAATAATCAGGAAATTGTAGAAAATAGTGGAACGTGCCGATTGGTTCTATACGACGTTCCAATTGATGAGCTTCTCAAATTTAGGTTTTTAGTGGACCACTAATTGACATCTGATTCAGAAAGTGAATATTAGTTTGTCTGAGCAATAGTGAAATGAAATAGTGCTGTATCTGAAGTCAACAGCCATTACCCATCATGCAATTCTGCTTAACACTGACTTAAAAAAGAATGCCTTTAGTCAGTGTGGCTATGACTATGGTACATTGTGATGTATTGCATGTTGTGTTTGCATCGTAATATAAAAACCAAATTCCACAGCAAAATAATGAAGGCGTCTGCATGAAACTATCAAAAATCTCTCTGTTTCTTCCCACCTCAAGTTTGGTGCAAACAAGGACTTTACGTGTCACGTCTTCCTCTGACAGGCTAAGAAAACTAAGACAAAAAACAACAACCAACCTTTGAAATTAGACATCATTAGCAGTGAAGAATGATGGAGCACTCCCTTTGATTATTTATTTATTTATTTATTATCTTCTACGTCGACTGTGAGTCAGCTGCTGTGTGTCACTTCCGTTTAAATCTCGCACTGATCACTCTGTAAGTTAATGAGAATTGGACCTTGATGGACAGACTGGGCTGAAGATCCTGAAATGTCTGATGTGCATCTTCAAGGAGGAGACAGCTGATGTTCGGAGCAGCTCTTTATCATTCAGAGTGCCGAGTCTGCAGACCGCATGCAGCTGCCCACGTCCAGTTACTGCTGGAGGCTGTCATGCCGGGAGGCCAGCTGCAAGTGTGTTTGAACAGAAGGCAGTCATTCAGAGATGCCGTTTGTCTCACCTGCACTCGATGGGGTAACAAGAAACTGAACCTCAAGAATGCCAGTGTCTTTACCCAGTTTACTATTAGCTTCATGAATCCATGCTACGCTATAAATAAATAACCAGCTGAGACTTAGCATGTCAGCATTACACTGTGTTTACCATCGCCTGCCTATTGTGTACATCCGATTGAAAACGACGTTGCTGTCTCTACCAGGGCTGCCTGCGGAGCAAACACAGCCACTCCAGTCCTGGAGACCTGCTGTCATGCTGCTACTGAAGAACTCTGCACTTTTAATAGGCATGTGACCCAGTTTGAATCCTATTAAATTAAAGCTATACACATTTCTAGCAGCTCAAGTCACAGCTGTAAGTCATTAAAGATTATCCTGTATGTCCCTTTGTGGTTTGTGCTCTCTCCTCGACATTCAGAATAAGTTTCATGTTTTTTTTTTCTGTCTGGGTTTGGGTTTTCAGACTACTTTATACTGACATCTAGTTTGCACGCCAATTTTTTGGCTTAGAGGGTTTTTTCCGGATGTGAAATTTATGGATGTGAGACCTTTTCGTGACTTCATTGCATTGCGAACCAAATGTGGTTTGTTTTTGACAATAGCTGCCAATGACATGTATGAGCCGGATCAAGTGACGCAGTCGCCGTGTTTGGTTTAAGGTGTTTTTTGGACAGGAAACTTAAAGACAAAAAAAAACAGAGTCATCTCCCATGAAACAACTTAATTGCGTCCATTGTAATTTTCATTTCCACAGCGACCTGAAGCCAAACGTCTGACACGGCTCTGCTCCATCTCTCACATGACCTACATTGACTTGGTGTGACGCAGAGACAGAGAAGAAATTTGTTTGTTTTTTTGTCTGTACTAGCATCATGAGATCCATGAATACATAAAATGAACTGCCTCGAAGAAGCTTCTTTTGATATCCAATCATCATTGCCTCCTTAAGATGGTTAAAAGAACAAATATTTGTCATAATTATCTCTTGCAGGTCATCGATGAACATGGCCGCAGAGCAGAGGCTGTTGACTGATGAAGCGTGTCTCGGCTGACAGCGAGGCACCGTTGGAACATAAAGATGAATGGACTCCTCGTTAAGTGTAATTGCGTTGTTTTCTTAGCACCTGGGCACCAGCACCATCGACCGGGCATCTAAGGATTCAGCATGAACGACGATCCATGGAAATCCTGTGGTACTTTATTCTCTATTTTCCATCCATTTTTCCTCTTTGTCAGTGGTTTGGTGCTGAAGTTTGATGTTGAATTACAGACTTTAAAATATTATGTGTAGTCCAGGCCATGAGACAGCATCACAGCACCACACTGGGGCGGCTTTGAGCCTACTAAACTCAGTGTTCAGAGCAGCATCCCATTTACATACAGTACATATCACAGATATCCAAATAATGTGGTAGTCATCAGATTCAAATGTTGTCCATTCATCCATCATTGCTCTACTGTAGTACACATTCAATACATGCAGTGTTATTTATACACGCTGTGGGAAGAGTTTTCAGTTTGGACAACGCACCTCAAGCTTGAAACCATCTCAACATCCAGCATGCGTTTGTGAAGGCTCCACCTTCAGGTCAGAAGACAGCTTTGCGTCCAACCACTTTCACGTAGTGCATAACAGTTAGTAAGTCTATGGCAGACAAACTGACTAACACTTTTACCAAATGGATTGTGAGGGACTGCAGATGGATGGAAGTTGGTGAGGACAACAGCCTTACTCAACATTTGAAAGCAACTGTCAACGTGATCTAGAAGCTACCATCAAGATGCTCAACAATTAATAATTCCGAATGAATAATTCCATCATTTGAATAAAAACATTTACCTGCTGTTGCCTGTTGTCTTTCTGTTTCATCGAAAGTGACATTTGTGACATGTACAAAGTTGCTACAAAAAACATTTCAAGAATTTAAATCCTTGATAAGAGGCGGGTCTCCTGTTGGACGTCGTTGGCTGTTTGTGCGGCACGACAGGGACATGCAGTGTTTACCTCAGTTCCCAGCAAATATGTAAAGATAAGATGATGTTCAAATGTTGTTGCCAGCTTGTTGTTGCTATTCAAACGAAGCCTTCTCCACCAAACACCTTTCGTGTAAAGTGATTATGTTCAGTGAACATGATATATAAATGTAATCAGCATCTGCCTGGAGAGGAGCTGATGACAGACACTTAATCCCTTTCCAAATAAACACAGTCTTCTGCAGCCTAAGATTGATAAGTAAACACACCGGTTGGAGCCGTGTATGTACTCGGTATTATTCCTGAATATCAATGCACGCACAGTGATGGGAAGGAAAGTTTAAAGTGAAGCAAAGTCCACTTTGAAGCTGCTAATTTGCCTCATGAATCAGGATTAAGTGATTAAGACGCTTGACTTTACCTCACTGCTCTGCACACCTCTGAGGCAAGTCCTATATCATTGATTCTGAGCAGTGATTATAAACACAGCTAATGGCTATTTCTGGCAGTGAGAGTGAAAGACGCCCAGGAAAAAAGGGCTTTGTTTATGAAACATAAGTCTAGTAGTATATTATATGCTGCATAACTTGAGGTTGTGAATAAAACGTGACCTCAAATCTGTCACATTTTCATGATAAACAGCATGTTTACTGAAAGCGCTCCCACGGCTTTGGTGTCTTGAAAATGATGCATGAGCAGGGCCTCGTGACATGGTGCTCATCGCCTTGACAAAACGACCCCCTCCTGTGAACCCGGTGTCAGAATGAATGTATAAAACAAAGCGGAGCGTCTGTGCAGTTCTTAGTGTTGGATTCTTTTTCTTCCATCAGATCTCTGTCGCAGCGGAGAGTGATGCTGCTGCGAACCACAGTATGTTTTTCTCCGTCACATCAAAACACATAGGAAAATAATTGTAGTATTAATTAAGGTTAGCTTTAATGCTGTGAACTGATATTTACTTTCATTTGGTTGCAACATACTCATATTGCTGCATTTTTCAGACATGAACATGAGCACAACTAATTTGGCATTCTGCCACCTGACTCCGCCTGTGGACGGGCTGTCGGGGCTTCATGAAAGTGTGAGCGCTGCAGCTGAATGCTAACAAGGCACTGTGAGATGTTCAAACATGACTCTTTGACCTTTGAGGTTGTTCGTCAGAACTGAAGCACGGAAACTGCAGCTGACCAGTTAATTTAAAAAAGATTCTAAGCAGAGTCTGCATTGATTTATAAATAGAATTTAACAACAACGTCAAAGGTGGTTAGGAGTTATGTGTTTTTGTAAATAGTGTGTGGTGACACAGAGTGGGTCTCAGGGGGTCAACATTTTAATATTTCAGATGCCAACCCTGATCATTTCCATTTTTTTCCGTACCACGCTAGCTTACATACTGATAAAACGGAGAGCTTCAGGACATAATTAGATTGTGACTATGAGGTCTTGAGGCTTGACCACTTGAGAATCATCGCTCTGGAAGAGCTATTCTTAGACTGAAGGACACGGAGAATTCATTCTCATCAACCTTTTTTTTGCTAAAACAAAAATGACCATATGTATTGGACTGATAAAAAATGGTTTGATGTGATGTGATTGCCGGTCCTTAGAGGCTCCTGCTCACTTTGCATTAATTTCTGATAACAATGGAAGAGAAGAGGTGTTCCTACCAAAGGGTGTTCCTGAAGGGTAGTGCAGCTGTAGATAAGGTCCTGGGAATGATGGATCACAATAGTTCACCATTCCGAAATTAATTATTAAGTTATTTATTTCTGAAGCGATTTCTTCAGACATTTTGACAAAGGAGAAAAAGAGTTGGGCAACAGTGAAACTAAACTCCAGCTCTTAACTGAATTTCCCAGAGGAAGATAGAGTTACTGCACAGTGATGTACAGCCAACTCCCAGTACAATAAACAGCACAAAATGCATTATACAAATAACATCAACCATTTCATTTTCATCTGTAAACATTTCTTTGTTGTATTGTTTCAGTGTCAATGCACCGACCTCAGATATAATGGGCTCTGACTCCTAATTTGGGTTTGTCCTAATGTGTGTTGACTGTTAGGTGGATGTGGTTCAATATAAGGTCCAAACTCATTTACATGGCCCCTTAAATCTCCTCCGACGTAATGAGCATGCCTCATCTCATCAACATACTTTTTATCTGCTGTTGCCTTTCTTGCACACGGATGATTCCCCCCGAGGAGACGTCTCCTCTTATGGCCAGATCCAGAAAGAACCATCTCTGATCTAAAACAATCCTTTTGAGCTAATGATGCCAAAACAGTGCGCAGCCTCTTAATGTTTCTAAGTGACCTATTTCAGCTGCTCGGCTATTAGTCCTCCAGACCATTGATCCCTGGCATGACATGACTGATGATGACTCCTCGATTAACGCATCGCGTTCAGCTTCATGAACCAGTGGTGTACACAGTTGGCTGACACCACAATGCATGTAGCTGTCCTTGCAGCCCTGGCTTACTGAAGCTGGATGTTTGCTCACTGAGTAAAGGCTGTAGGTGCACCATCAACTGTTCGCATGCTAGTGTGAGAGTGGGTGCAGTCCAAAACCAGCCTTGACCAGTGTTGATAACCTCCATTATTAAAGCTACTATTATTACTTATTATATAACTAAGTTTAGTAATAGTGATTGTTAGGCGGGGCAGTTGAAGAGTTTAAAGGCTCCAGGCAGGAATGATTTCTGTGCTGTACCTTAGTACCTTGGACTGAAGGTTCTCCTGTGTCTGACCAACACATAAAGTGGAGTGGATGAGAGTCACTGTCTGTCAGTAGTCTGAGCTCTGACAGCATCCTTCTCTCTCACTGTCACTTGCCTTCCAGATCACTGTGTCAAGTCTGTTGGCATCTACCACACACAGACTGCTGCCCAGCATGCATTAGCCAATAGGATGGGACAGGACTGGCTACTATAAACAGAGAAATGAACAAAGCTGTCTTTTACAAAGTGCCATTTTTAACCAAACTATATTTAAAATATTAGTATTGTCCTGATTTATGTGAAATATACATTAGCTTGATCAGGACAAAGAAATGCTTTTGGAATCTAGTTTTCTGTAGGTTTAATTACAAGGTGTGTAATTTAAAAAGGCAAGACGGAGCAGCCCCTCGTTATCTTAACTAGGTAGACCTGACTCTACACCCAATCAACATGTCAACCTGCAGTTTT